TGAGTCTCYCYSACTACCGAACTGCACTCCTATATAGCCYCKMWSTCTCTCTCTCTCTCTCTCTCTCTCTCTCTCTCTCTCTCTCTCTCTCTCTCTCTMGCCCCRAAGAKTCGAAGACTCTCTCTCTCTCTCTCTCTCTCTCTCTCTCTCTCTCTCTCTCTCTCTCTCTCTCTCTTTTTTGTGTGTGTGGGGGGTGCCCCTGCGTGGGGGCTTTTGCCCCTCGCCGTTTCCGAGTGACCTGTGGTCAGAAGGATGACAATGTATGCCCTACCCCGATTCTCTAGCCCACCACTTGTGCGAGCGCCCGCGCGCTGTGATCAGGGCGGGGCGGATCATACAAATGTGCCATGCAGTACATCTTGCAATGCGACCCGAGGCTTCGGCGAAGACCAGGAGGACCGACGGTGCGTATCGGGCTGTTCAACAACCGCCGATGAACGCCCGGCGACTTCAGACCGTTGAGAATTGAAAATTTTGAAAAAAAAAAAAAAAAAACGAAGAACGAACAGAGCAGAACAATGAGTGAAAGGTAACGGTACACTCGTCGAAGTTTCTTTCTTTTTGTCATTGCTATTCCCGCAAAACCAGCGGCCGAACTTCACCCAAATCACTGGAAAATTCATACACAAGTCTTGCCATAACAACAGCCACTATTCTTTGAACTCCCATCAATGCTGAATTCAGTTGCAAACACGAATAGATAGATTTTTTTTATTATTATTTTTTTTTTTCTTACCCTCACTGTTCCAACAACCTGTAAGGAGCCTGATCTGCCATGACGGGTTTGGAGCGTTTGTTTGAAAAAAAAAAAAAAAAAAAAGTTGGAACTTGGAAACACGTAGTAGTAGTTCAAGAGAAGAAAGGAACAGAAAGGGGACCAGGAGGAAAAGAAGGGGGGGGGGGGGGAGAGGAGAAGGGAGGGAGGAGGGAAAGGAAAGAGAGAGGAGAATGGAGAGAGGACGAGGGGGGAAGAAAAGAATAACCCTCATGTTGCAACCAACATTGGAATCAGTCACAGCAAATGTCAGTCAAGCATTTCCAGCAGGTGCAGCTCCCCACCAATAGATTGGCGCCCCTAGTGATGATGGTAGGAGTGGATGCTCTTATCAACACTCCTATAAGTAATCAGTAGGTTTAAAATAAAAAAAAATAAAAAAAATAAAAAAAGTCAGTCAAGCAGCTCTTCTGCAAGAATCCAACCGAGAAGGTTCCCTTGCCAATGAGCCGCTTCTTCTCTCCATGAGGGACGGCGGACTCCATAGGAAAAGCACCCAACCCAGGGCATGCTTTCCATTTCTCTCCTGTACCAGGGACCCACCTTACAGTCTTCCCCCGAATACAACGCATTATAGCTGAATTTGGTGTATCTTTCAGTCTAAATTCCGCTATAATGACCATACGTTGTATTCGGGGGAAGACTGTAGCATAGAAACCTCTTACAATTAAAGCCTTTGCATGTTGGCCCCCACCGTAACAGGCTGTGGTGGGGGAGTAGGGGAGTAGGGTGGGGACGCCGGGGGGGGGTGGAAACGGCTAATGCAAAGCCCAAGCATTTTGCCAGTAGCTGCACCTGCAAGCTACTTATCCTACCCCTCTCCTCACACACAAACACACACAAACATTGTCTAAGGCCAATATCTTGCCCCATACTGCAATTATAAGTCGTTTTTTTAACTCCCCTGTAGTTACCCCTTTTTCTTTTTACACTAGATCTTAGCCAAAAGGCCAGGAAAGCTATACCCTTTTTTTGTGTGCGGAGTGGGAGGGGCATACCCTAATTCAGATACATGGGCTGCGCTACACAGCGATGCAGTGCAGTACTAAGGCCACCCTGGAAGGGCCTATTAGGCAAGCCTACCACCTAGACCCCTCTGTAAACCAGAAAACTTAATTTAGGGGTAACTTCAGTAGAGTCACAAAAACGAGTTACGATTGCACTATGGGACAAGATACAGTTTGCAATTGCACCTTGGGCACCCTACCTGACCAGACAGATGGCTTGCATACATTGCCGGAACTGCAGTTGCCAACTGTATCTTGGCCCATACTGGAATTATCAGATTAGACACAAGATTGAATTTACCTGGGCTGGTTAGTCCAATGATAATACCTCAAGGCCATCGCCCTTAAAAAAAAATTTAATAATAACTCGTTTTTGTGACTCCCGCATCGTTTCCCCATTGATGAGGTAACTTCAGTAGAGTCACAAAAAAGATTTATGATTATCATGTGGTCAGTTGTACTGGGGATCAGCTCAGAACAGACACTGCATCCAGCCCCTAGCGCAGTTGGTAAGAAGGCACGCAAGTGGCATTCAGGAGGTCGTGGGTTCAATCCCCATTGGCCTCGTGTACCTTCATGGGCATGCTACATGGGCACGCTTGACGCCTGCGACCTAGAGAAAGACCACTGGATCCCCCGATCGGCATTGAGCAGAGTCTGCTGATGTTCTTAGAGGAGGGGACCTGGGGGGAGGCACAGGGATTGGTCCTGTTGGCATGGTCCCTGATCCTACCGGCTGTCCCCTGGCTGCTATCACCCACAGGCAGGTGGGGAGCAGCCCCAGCAGGTTTTCTCTTGAACACACTTGCCTGCCACCTAGAGAAAGACCACTGGATCCCCCGATCGGCATTAAGCAGAGTCTGCTGATGTTCTTAGAGAAAGGGACCTGGGGGGAGGCACAGGGATTAGTCCTGTTGGCATGGTCCCCGATCCTACCGGCTGTCCCCTGGCTGGTATCGCCCACCGGCAGGTCGGGAGCGGCCCCAGAAGGTTTTCTCTTGAATACGCTTCTGGCTGCTACAGGTTCCCCTTATGCCTATAACTAGAAATGTGGTGGCTTTTGAAATCCTGGTTACATCATTGTTACTTTGCCCGAGTTAGTACTACTTCTTACAGGCATACACAAATTATGGACACACCCAGGAAATGGGCATACTCGGGACCTCAGGAGGAGAGGCCAAATTGTTCATATACCCTGCTACTGGATGGCTGAAATTATGCACATACCCAGCAGCTGTTGGGCCACAACTGTCTCGTACTTCTTTTTCTTCTTTCAAAAAAACAAAAAAAAGGGCGGCACAACTGTCTAGTACTTGGTGGGCATGAGCACAATTTCGTGCGCTGAATCCAACGCCTGCAGGATTGGGTACATGTGCAATTTCGCACAGCGGAAAATATGAGTACTATGGAAAGTTGAACGCCCCCGGGTATAGATGCAAGGTCGCGCTGTGACTGGGTACAGCCCGTATGTGACGCGCAACCTCACGCCCTGTGCTGTCTTCCGTTCGGAGTGTTAGCTGTACGGAAAAAGGCCCAAAAAAACAGCAAGATGGAGTGTGCCAAGGATTTTTGGAAATTGAGTGTGGGGACACAGACGGAACTGAAATCCCCCGTGTTGGTCCGATGGAGCAAGTCGATCGTTTTCGTGCGTCGCAGAATGCGCGCGCGGGCGAGGCGGGAAGAGAGGGAAAGATCCAAACTCAATCCAAAAAGTATTGTCGTGCCTCCCACCGGGCTACAGCCCGTCGTTTAGAACAGAAAGGCTTAGGCACGCTTCGCGTGTCCCGTTTTCGTATCAGATCTCGTCGTCGTTCGCTGGTTAGTTCCAAGTCCGACGTGGATGGTCTCAGCCGCGTGGCTCTTTCTTTACGCTTGTCTTCACTCCGCACACGGTAGTCTACTGCCGTCCACGGAATGACGATTAACTCGTTAAATGGCAACAATACCGAATAAGGTGGGAAGTGCGTATCGATAATAACAAACCCGGCTTCTACGAACCCAGAACAACGGTTGGCCGGAGGGAAGTAATACTGCCCACCGATTTGTGAAACGGCTTCTCGTACGTCCCACTCACATACACGTGTCCTTTCCTCACTGTAAGGAAAAGGTCGCGTTGGGATGGGAGATACGGGACGCTGGCGCCCAATCGAAGGGTACTTATCAGTCCACATGTCAATCAATCACAAAATATCTTGAGAAGTCATTAAGAACAAAAGCGATTCGCGCGTCCCCCAATCAATCTTTTTGACGCAAGAGAGAGAGAGAGCAAACACAGATCAACTTGATCACGCATATGGCTACGGGTCCGATCAGTTCAACACAGCGTTGGTCCCTGGGCGCCTTGTTTCTCGGGGCCGCCTCGTGGCTCGGCTGCTGATGTCGTGCAGCATAAGGCAGATGGCATGCGCAGTGCAAACAGAGCTACAGATCTAAACACTCTTGCATTCTCGAACAAAACCCTGACGACAATCGTCTAATCAATAAAAGAGTCACACATTCCATACATGCATTCACTGTGGAAGGTGCGAAAATGAGACATGCACAAGATCGCATTACTCAGTACACACGCATCCACCGTTCACAAGACAAGAAGACAGGGTCCTTGCGTAGGAGGATTACCCAGGAAACTAATAGAAGAGTTCCGGAAGGAATTCTTTCACACAAAAACAGGATGCCGACTCATTCCCATTCAAGAGAGGGACAATCATTCAGACGCATCATCATTAAAAAAGAGAGAGAGAGAGAGAGAGAGAGAGAGAGAGAGAGAGAGAGAGAGAGAGATTTATCGCGATCCAAACACGCGCGCGCGCACGCGAGAGAGAGAGAGAGAGAGAGAGAGAGAGAGAGAGAGAGAGAGAGAGAGAGAGAGAGAGGAGCGCGGAGCGCGGAGCGTGGAGCATGGAGCGCGTCGGAGCGGAGCGGCGATGGCAGGGAAGCGGCGGAGCGGGTCGACGACGGATGAAATCGAGCGTGCGCGAACCCTACGAACGCCGTTGAATTCTTAATTCGACGGCGTTAAACGCAATTGAACGCGATCTGTGTATCTTTTGAACAGAGAACGGGCGAAATTCAACGGCCGTTCATCCGTTTTACGGGCCCAGGACCCCCATTAAATCCCGTTTAACGCAAAAACGGGGGCTTGGCGTTGAATTCCGAAAAACGGAATTCTCGCTTTGGGCCTCGGACACGTGTGCCTACGTGCCCGAACACTCAAACCTGAAAAAAAATAAAAAAAATTCACCCCCTTTTGACACCCCCCCCCCAACACCCCTAAAGGACCGAAAAACCCCTATCTGACCCAGAACACACCACCCGGCCCCTCCCCCCAACCTGCACATTCCCACCACGACCCCCAACCCCCACTGCACTTCACTGCCCTAAGTGCCCTCACACCCACCCCTGAACAACAGACACTACCCCTGCCCCTGTCTCTTATACACATCTAGATGTGTATAAGAGACAGAAATGATACAAGAAAAAAAAAAAATGTACAGTCTGAACTCAGTAGTGTGCAACCGATGGCACTCTACGAACACCCTACTCAGCCTACTGGCACCAAAATCATACTCTACGAACACCCTCCTGCTATCAAAATCATACACACCAACAAGTAAAGCACGCACACAACCACCTGTCTCTTATACACATCTAGATGTGTATAAGAGACAGCCCTGTGCACCCCCCGAAACATCAGTTAGTGTTCTATTCAATGCAAATAGAATCAACAAATAAGATAGAAAAAAAAACAAGTACCGAACTCTTGAAGCCATAAATAAATTAAAAGAAAAAAATGCAAGAAATGAAATTGAAAACGAGAACAACAGTTAAAGATATAAAATCACACACCGAGAATAAAATGGGCAGGCAAAGTGCATCACTCGTAACAGAAAATGTAATGTACATGAAAAGTCGTGAACGATGCGAAGTACCTGACAAGCTGACACTAATATCACACATGCAAATGCAACATAATACAATGTATCCTACAGGCTACTGCTAATGCACTGGCACCACATGTCGAAAAAAATACAAGAAACAATAGTCTACAAGTCGTTTCGTAGCTGCCTAAATGATACAAGAAAAAAAAAAAATGTACAGTCTGAACTCAGTAGTGTGCAACCGATGGCACTCTACGAACACCCTACTCAGCCTACTGGCACCAAAATCATACTCTACGAACACCCTCCTGCTATCAAAATCATACACACCAACAAGTAAAGCACGCACACAACCACTGAGTGTCTGACAATACTGAGACAAGACGAGACGACTCAGACTACCAAAAAAACTACAACCGCACAACATGACGACGTACAGTGCGAGTAGGGGAGAAGCGGAGTGTTGGCCTCATCGATCAACGACCCTTCTTCCCCTTCCCGCTGTGTGTCCTCGTGCCCCCTCGAGTGCCGGATGTTGACCTCTTCCTCCCTCGTGAGGATGAAGAAGTCCGTGCAGCGGAGCGTCTAGATGCACGCGTCGGTGGGGGTCCTAGGGAAGGTGGGGGCTCATCGTAGTCGTCGTCGTCACCATCGGAACCGCTCCTGCTATCCTCCACTCCCTCCTCCTCACCCTCGTAGTCCTCGTCCCCATCCTGCACAGCCGCATCCGTATCAGGATCATCCTCCTCGATGGTGACTGGGCCTCCTCCCTTCCTCAACACAACAACCCTCGCACTAGCCTCTGCAATGGTCTGCTCACGACGGGAACCACGAGGCATCCCCAACCCCTCCGCCCCCGAACTCTCTCCAAGTGCTGCGCCTCCCTCTGCAGGCACGGGGCGTGGACGAGGAGGTACTCCACGCTTGCGTGGAGTCTTCTCCTGCACGGCACGCGTCGCTGCTCTCAGAGCGTACTCCAAGGTATCGGTCGACACTCCTCTGCCACGGCCTCGCTGAGGCTCACAACCCGATGCCGGTACCTCCCTCGCCATGGTCGTCCTAGCGCCTCCTCCTCCCAAGCCTGGCTGAAGGCGTGCAGTGTGCTCCGTGACACGGCGGGTGGAATCCAAAGGTATATCTGTCCTCCCGAATATCGTCGTGTCACACACGTCTTGCTGAACTGCTGTCGTGTCACGAATCCTAGATCTCCCAGGCGTGTGTGGGGATCGAGAGCCTCTGCCTGTGGGTGACGATGATGGATCACCTGCAGGTGCTCTGGGAGGAGGGGGTGACATGTCTCTTGTGTGTGGCGCTGTCTCCGTCACGTCACCCGAAACCCCTGGAACATGTCCCGCGGTATGTCCTCCAGTGGAGGTAGACCCAGACCACACGGGCGACGCAGGACCCCATGGAACCGAAGGGATCGACTGCCACGGTGGGTGCTCGAGCTTCCGGTCGAAGATCCGCCGGTCCAAGCGAGTAACATCGCGCACAGCCTCTCTCGCCAACTCCTCTGCATCCAAAGGACGTCGGACCTCCTGCGGAGCAAAGTGGCTAGGAAGACGTAAGGGCACAACCACCGGCTCGGACCCCAAATCTGTGATAACGGGCGGTGGCACACCATGCACTGCCATCTGAACCGCTTGCGGCTGTCGGGCTTGAGCCAAGTGCAGGCCCGAGAACGGAATGACTGGACCCGTCGCTGTCTCCTACCCCTCTCGTCGTGAGTCTATAGCCCCCTCGACTCGTCGCTGTCCTGCTTGCACTGCCTCATCCACCGCACGAGTCCGCCCCTCCACAGCAACGTCTGTTGTCTCTGCTCCACCCGGCATAGCCTTGGGTACCGGCTCTGCTGCCACTCCCTCCGCAACGTCCTCCCCCGCCACCACCCCACCCTGCACACAATCCCCCCCTATCTCTAGACGCCTGGCGTCCTCTACATCCCGTGCGAATGCCTGAGCATGAGGGTCAGTCGATGCCAAAAGTCTAGCCCTCTCTCGCTCCATGATGTCGTGTGCTGCATCAAGAGACAGAGTCGTCGTCCTCTCTCTGGCGGTCTGCGTCGAAGTCCTGCGTGGCGCCTCGTCCCTCGATGGAGCCCGATCCGTCGATGTCGCCCCGCCGCAACTGGGTGGAAGTCCCACCGACAAATCCAAGTCTAAGTGGGTCCCCATCTCCGAATTTAAAATCCCAAACCCCCTCTCCACACCGGGGGTCATACCTGCTATGGCCGGACCGAGCTCCTCCGTGAGGAACTGCTGCATGAGGCGCTCGTCATCGCCCCCACGCTGCACCTCGGCCTGTGCGGCTATCTCCTCCTCCACTGCAGTTGCCGACAGTGCGTCCTCCTCCTCCAGTGCTGCTGCCACCTCAACCTCCACTGCTGCTGCTCCTCCATCTGCTCCTCCTGCTGCTGCCACCTGCCCCTCCACTGCTGCACCTCCTCCTGCCGCTGGTGGATCCTCCGCCAGCACTGATGCTGCCATCTCCTCTAGCACTGATGTTGCTGCTGCTGCTGCTATCTCCTCCACCRCGGCCGCGATCGTCGCGTCCGACACAGCCGCTGGTGCCATCGAACTCTCCACTGCTGTTGCCGAAGGTCCCCCCTCCTCCTGCCCTATCCCCGGGGAAGGTGATCGTAACCAAAGCTGGCGGACTGCCCCGCCTCTGTGGAGAAGGCCTTGCAAAGGCAAAGAGGACCCCAACTCCTCCCTGTCCGGCTGAAGTGGTGAGACGGGCGATCGTGGTGCAGGACTCGGAGCAGGAGGTGGCGGCATGGACGAATCCCACCTCGTCAGAGTGGGGGTCGTCGCCTGGCCTCTGGGCCGCCCGTGGAAGCGACCTCACCGAATGGGCCCCAAAAGTCCTCGTCTCCCCATAGCATCTCGCTCTCCGTCCGGTCCGCCGCCCGTCGTGCAGTCTATGTCCTCGTGTCCTCTGAGCCGGGATCCTCGTGAGTCTCGTCGATCTCCCGGGGAATGCGGAGCGCAGGGTCATCTGCCGCCTCGGGTATCGGCTCCTCATCTGAGTCGTCGTCCATGGGGTAGGGACAAAAAATGCAAGCACGTCTATCGAAAACGGCATCAGCCGAGGATGGTGCGGACGCCCCGATGGGATCCCGGGTAATAAGTGCAACCTGACGGGCAATCTCCTCGTCCGTCATCCCCCTGCGAGTTCCCGTGCGCACAGGCTCCAACTCGAGTCATGCATGGCAATCCAACATGCCCTCGTCCCGCTGCCATGGCAGCACATAACCGCATCCACCCCACCGATACTCAGTCAACCGCACATTTGCGGTGATCTCAACGAGTTGCACGACCTTCTCGAAGGCCAACTGGTTGCGCTTCTTCGTGTGAATTCCCTCGTGGACTTCCCAGTTCCTCTCCGCTGGAGAGGCGCAAGACCACATGTGCATCACCCGAAGAGCGCAACGCTGCAACTGTGGCGCGCCCGACCCGAACTGAGACCACCAAAACGCGCACTCAATCGTCTCGCTGTCGCCGCTGCACGCACACCCACGAGCACGCCCCTCTGGACCGCCCCAATCCCCGAACCTGCCCTGCTGAATGTGGAAGTCCTCAAACTGCCGACATGCAAGGATGTACTCCGCACCCTCCAGCTCGAATCCCGTCTGCGTCAAAATGTRCCTCTTGGCTTGCCCCACAAGCCAAGCATCGTACCTCTCCACCTGCCCCGAAAAGTAGCGAACGCGTCGCCTGCGGGGGTCCAGTAAGAACCCTGCGTAGTGAGCCGGCTCAAGCATGTGCTGTATGCGAGCCTGCACACGCCTGATGATCCGGTCGGTGAACGATGTCCCCAAAGGGGCGCATGCGACCGTGACACGGCGGACAAGATCTTGTGTCCACTCGATCATGAGGGACATGTACTGTCCTCCACGATCCATCCTCCTGAGCAACTCCATGACGGGCTGCATGATATAGACGATGGTGGCCACCCTCTGCCACTATGGATCCCATCTGATCTGTCGGCACACCCACCGCGCCATGACGCACACATTGGCAGACCACGAGATGGAAGCAAAAGCCCGCGCGTCGTCCCCTCGCATCATGTCCTGCAAAGTGTCCTGCCGGGCCAACAGCCTCTCTAGCATGGAGTAAACAGATGCGAACCGCGTCTCGCAAGAAAGAATAAACCCCTTCTCGGGGCTGCTCGTCCTAAAAAAATGAAGGGCGGCCTGGTGGGTTTTGAAAAACACCACCAGCACACGAGCGCGTGTAATCGCGTCCACAAACGCGTCGCAACTCGTCCCCATGTCGGATAACAATTTGTTGCAGACATGGACGGAGCACGGGAGCCAAGTGATCCTCCTCAGTGCAGGAGGCATGGACGGCGAGGTCAATGCCCTAGCAGCCCCCACATAGGCAGAAGCGGAGTCAGTGCATATCGCATTGATCCGCTGCGGCCCACCAAAGCTGAACTCGTGGAAGATGGTAACCCATCTATAAAGGACGTGCACTGCATCGTCCGGCTCGCCCTCTCGATTGATCGCCGTGCACACGACGACCCCTGGAGAGCCAGCAACAAGGAAATTCACGATCGGTCTCCCGTCTCGTGATTTCCTCCCATCGGAGAGGAGGGTGGCACCAGTCACCCAGAATGGTTCCCTCACCTCCTCCAACTCCTCCGCCAACTCCGCACGGTGGGTCTCCACCGCCCGCATACTCGCAATCTCGCAGTGGTTGGGGAGCATTGCGCGCGGGAAACTGCCAGGCTGCTCAAGAAGCACCTGCTGATATGCCTTCCATGCCTGGTTGCGGAAGGCATTGAAGGAGACCCCGCTGGAATACAACCAGCGAGGGAATGTCTTCTTGTGGCGGGCAACCCACTCGCCACCGTAGACATCAGTCACCTTCTGCTGCCGAAGCCTCTTTCCTGCTGGGGTGGCAGCCGGATCACTCCCTCCTTCCTTCCTCTTGGAAGACCCCTCCGTTGCAGCTCCCTTGCCTGCTCGCCTCCGCCAGTCCTCCAACCTCTCCCCAGTGCCTGGATAAACCTCAGGCAAGTCCTCCCGTTCTGCGACTCCCTCGTCACCCGGGCCACGCGCCTTGCGATCCACGTGGATCACGCCCTCCTCTGTCTCACCGCCTCCACCACCCAAAGTGGGGTCTGCCGCACCATGCCCACCATCTCCCCCGACCCGTCCCTCCGTCGGACGCCGCCCTGCCTCTCCTCCCCTTGCACCACTCGTGCCGGGCACATCGAGTCCGCGCTCCGCTACATACCTCGACACCCTCTCCATCTGATCGGCCTCAAACTTCTGCTGAGTCCGTCGAGCAATCTCGTACAACGCCTCGTCGCAGACGTCCTTGCAGTAGTTTGTCTGCGAGAAGTGCCTCGTGGCCTGAAAC